CAGAATTGAGACAAAAAAAATTCTGCAAAAGAAAACCAAAATACTCTTCAAGTTTGAGGAGCTTTGCGTGGAAGGTTAGAGAAAGTATCTGGCAGAAACCAATCAAACAAATCATCTGTTATTCGATTGTGATAGTAACACCCTCAAAGTGACTTCACGATAAGAGTGACTTGTGTAGACAACTTCTTACTAATGGTGATACAAAAATTGGGTGACAATTTATGCATACTATTAGGTGGAAAATTCTTAATGGTGTTGTAAAAGTTAAGTGGATAATTCCAATTGTGCGCACAGCAGTAAAAATATGTACCAAGTTTTGTTGAAAGTTGAAGACCAAGAGTTTGTATGCTATTTTATTTGGCTTGAGATGAAGATTGCTGAAATATCAATCAAAATTCTACGTTGAAAGTTTAGTTATATATTCAATACAGATTACTACGAGTTTTTTAAAATGAATCCAAAAATAAATATGTGCAGAGTTTTCGTCCTGGACATGAGTTTGGAAAAGTCAACGGAAAGTTTTATTGGATATCCAACATATATAAAAACCATAGGTGGTGCGATTTGTTTCCTAGCCTTGATTCATATTTCATAAACGAAGGGTTCTCTAACATCGGACTAAGCCATTTTGGTTTATTTCTCTTTTGAATTTTTTCTGCAGTAATCTCATTCAATCATATTTGATATGCTGAAAGATAAATATTTGTTTAGTTATAAATACTGACATTCGTAATAACTGCTAAAAATTATTTATTTGATCTTCGTAAAAGTCATATCATTTTACAATCATGATCGATGTGGGCTCATCAACAAACTTTAGGTCTTTTTCACAACGTCTGCACATTTATTTTATTTTTATAACTGAACAATTCGTTTTAAGGTATGAGTTTAAAAGTGGACATTCACATGGTGGTACCAGTCTCCTAAAGTCTCTTCCTCTCACGTCCTCATTTTCTTGTATTATAACCGCAACAAGTTCTTGTCATTGAATTAGTCAAAAGTCTTCGTTCCCCTGATTATTTGTAAATAATATGTAATTGCAACTTTCACTTGTTTGTCTTTCTTATATTCTCTTTGCAAAGATTAAATAACAGTGCATGTGTATATGTATCTTGTTTTATTAATAATAAAAAATGTACCTTCTTTTATTTTAAGCTTTTAATGTGTATATATATGGATATCACAGGAACAAAAGCCATCTCACTTCATTTCTCCTTTTCCCCTATTCTATAAAACTTGTTGTGAAACCCTTAAACCTGACAGAAAGTTTAAAAGTTTGGAGAAGTGAAAGTAATGGCGATAAAAGATAGATCATTGGAAGAGACACCAACATGGGCTCTTGCTGCTGTTTGCTTCGTTATTCTTTTCATCTCTATCATGATCGAATATTTTTTGCACTATATTGGCCACGTACGTAAATTTTATCTCTGTTTCCAACTTCATATCAGCCAGATCTTCCTTTATGATAAAAATATATACGATTTATTACATAATCTCTCTAGTTTTCTTTACTAAAAAATCGAAACCTAGTCAGTATCTCCCAGTCTTTATTTTTGTTCTTTTCAATCTGTGAAGTGGTTTAAAAGGAAGAACAAGAAGGCTTTATATGAAGCTCTTGAAAAGGTTAAAGCAGGCAAGTTCTTACCCTTCTATAAAGATTTTAACATCATAAGTTTGGATTATGTAGCCTGTAGTTGTATCACAACCTGATCATCAATCTTTTTCTATTTGAATTTTCAACTAACTTTGTGTTTTCTTTTTGGTTTTGTGGTGAAAATAGAATTGATGCTACTGGGATTCATATCTCTTCTACTTGTTGTATTGCAATCACCAGTCTCCCAAATTTGCATTCCAGAAAGAATTGCTGCGACTTGGCATCCTTGTAGTAGAGAACAAGAGGTAGCTAAGTATGGTGAAGATTATATCGACGATGGTCGCAAAGCTCTTGAAGACTATGACTTCAACGACTTTTATAGTCCTCGTCGGAGTTTAGCCACCAAGGGTTATGACAAATGCACAGACAAGGTATATTTAGATTTTAGTTACTGATTACTTTTAACTTCTTACATTTTTCCTGATTTATTTTCCTTGTGAATTATTATTTTCAGGGGAAAGTAGCATTAGTATCTGCATATGGTATCCACCAGTTGCATATATTCATCTTTGTGCTCGCTGTATTTCATATTCTTTACTGCATTATAACCTATGCTTTGGGAAAAACCAAGGTAAATATATATTTTCTATACATTTTTCACAAGTGCATATATTTTAATTATGTATGTGTTTAACTTTATGATGTAATATACAGATGAAGAAATGGAAATCATGGGAGAGAGAGACCAAAACAATCGAGTACCAATATGCTAATGGTATGCACAAACATATTGGCCATTCTCTCATCTCTAGAGTTTTAGTAGTATATATATATCATGAAAAAGAAAGAAAAAAAATGGGTAATTTCAGATAAATTATTTTCGTGGGTGTTTGACTTTGGCAACGTTAACATCATGATCACGTATCACTTGAACTTGTTTATTCGCCCATATCTCTCATACGCATATAATTTTATTGAATTATACAATTATTAGCAGAATATCCAACGAGAACAGTTTGACTTACAATAAACAATTTAACGACCGTTCCTTCACTTTTTGTTAAACTAGGTGATTTTCCCGTGCTCATGCACGGGTATAAATATTTATGAAACAAATTTACTATAAAAATTGTTTGCTATTTACTTTAATTTATAATTTATATGCATAATTTATATTAATAATAGTATAGTACTTTAGCAGATGAATGTAGATATGTTATATCTAATTGGTTTTGTTATTTTTACAGTCGATTTAGTTATCATATGAATTTATTGGACTGTATCTATTTTTCTAAATTCAATTACAATGTTTTTTATTCTAAATATATTAAATTTTGATTAATTTTCTTATTTGTATTTAGGTTAGTTGTTGTGTTAGATACGTAAATATATTTTAGGAAGATTATGTATAACTTAGTATATATTGTTTTTAGAATGAAATAAAATAAACTAAAGTGTTTGGTTCTAAATTACATAAATTAATAAACAAAAATATTCTGAAGTCTCATGCATGATATAAATTTTACAAAATAACTGATTGCAACAGTTGGTTAATATTTTATTTTCATTTGTTAATATGTTTTGAGTCATCCTATAATTTATATTTATAAAATAAATTATTATTATTATAAAACTATATATTCTTATTGTAGTTAAATCTATGATTTTAGATATAAGTTGGATTATGTGATTTTTCCGTGTTCATGCACAAATATAAAATCAACAACATAAATAAATCATACTAATTGATTACAAATTTGTTTTATAATTTATATGTAGATCTTGTGTATATAATTACATGTTGTTTTAATCTGACATGTGGTTTAAGATATATAGTATCTAATCGATTTAATTATTATTTGGATATATTATATTGCATTTTTTTTTGATATTACTATAATTATTCTTATATATAAAAAATATAATTATAAATACATCTATTTTTATTCCAGCTAAACCAAATAAGATCAGTTTATTTAATGTGGAAGTTATGTTTTTTTATCTAGGATGTGTAAATATATTTTCATTTTTTTTGTATATTTGATGTTGATTTGAAAAAACCAATAAAAATTAAGTTGATGATTAATATGACAACATAAAAGAACATGACCGATATAATTTAAAAAATAATATATATTTTGATGTATAAACGATAAATTAAAAACTATATTAATAATTTTAAACATAAGAATTCAGATTAGTTTGGGAGTTCAGATTATAAAGGAGACAGTGGTTGTTAAAAATATAAATTAAAATTTAAAATAAACTAAAGATTAAGAAAAAAGAAGTAAAGTAAATATCTATAGTTCACTAAAAATATATTGTCTTATAATATTTAAAATATTTCTGCAATTATTTTATAAAATTATTTTATTAAGATAGAATTATAAAAAAATAGTTACATTTTCTAATAATGTCATCTTGCTTAAGATTATTTTTAAAGTATGTTGTTTAGTATTTTAAGTAAATAACAAAATTTTGTAGAGATTATTTTACATAAAAAAAATATAAATTTACTTTTACTTTTTAAAAATAAATACTCAAACATTTGTTTTATATTTAATATTTTGAAATTATCTTATATAAGAAAAATATAAATATACTTTAGATAATTCGAGATATTTTTAATTTATGTAGTCTAATAAAAAATACAAAGAAATTTTCAATTACATTTATGTTAACAAATTACTATGCAAAACATATGCAAAACCCTTAGTAATATTAGTTTTAAAATACTGTTAGTTAGTTTTGATCATCTGAAAATATAGCTTGATGTAAAGAAAATATTATTATTACTTTAAAAATATATATATTATGTTATTTAAGATTATGTATTAAAAGGAATATATTTCTAATATTAAGATGCTTATTGTGAACTTTCCTTTTTTATGAACTCAAATTATATATGTGAAATATTTTCGTTTTAAAAATTTAATTTTNTAAGATTATGTATTAAAAGGAATATATTTCTAATATTAAGATGCTTATTGTGAACTTTCCTTTTTTATGAACTCAAATTATATATGTGAAATATTTTCGTTTTAAAAATTTAATTTTCTTCCTTTAATAAAACTTTTATTGTTAAGTTTCCTTTTTTTATGAAATCAACTTATTTATTATACATATTTCGTTTTTAAAACTTATAGTTCATTAATAAATGTTTACTTTTATTATAAATATTATTTGGAAAGAAAATAAAGAAAAGAAAAGATAAATTAAAAATAAATAAAATTTTAATAGTAATGGAAATTAGATATAATATTTTTAGTTCATTAAGGGTATCTATGTAATCAACCATTGTGAAAGTTAACGTGAGCGCGACACATAGGAAACTGACTTCTCAAATAATATTATAGAGATACATGAGTTCTGTACTCCTCTTATTCAATTCAATTAAATATTGTAGATCCAGAGAGGTTCAGATTTGCAAGAGATACATCGTTTGGACGTAGACATTTGAATATATGGAGCAAGTCTTCCTTTACCCTCTGGATTGTAAGTTTGTATCTATATATTCTTCTAAATTTTACTTTTATTTGTTTCCTGTAATGGTTTCTAAATCACAACAAAATAATGGATATATGGGGGCATGCAGACATGTTTCTTCAGACAGTTCTTTGGATCAGTGACAAAAGTGGATTATCTTACATTAAGACATGGCTTTATAATGGTGAGTAAAAGTTATTTATTTCTTTTTGTATAAGCAAAAAAAAATTATTATATTCCAAAAAAAGTAATAATCATTGTATTAGTCTTGATCCCCAAAAAAATTATTATGCTGATGATTAGTAAGTGCTTTAGAAGTGGGCTAAAATTATTGAATGGGTGCAGGCGCATATGCCAGCAGGAAGTGAAGCTCGTTTCGATTTTCAAAAGTACATTCAAAGATCTCTGGAAGAAGATTTCAAGGCTGTTGTCGGTATAAGGTTAGTCCCTTTCTTTATTTAATTCGAAGTCATTGATGTTTTCTTCCAATTATGAACTTTTTTTCTAAATATTATAAATTTTCTGATTAAATAAGTTATTGTGTGTAAATTAATGCAGCCCAGTTATATGGTGCATTGCTGTCTTATTCATATTGACTAATACACATGGTTGGTCCTAATTCTTTAAATATCTTTTAAAAATAATTAAGCAAATTATATATCAAGGAGATAAAATCTTATGTTTCTTTTTTAAAATTATAATAGGATGGGAATCATATTTTTGGCTGCCTTTCCTCCCTTTGCTTGTAAGTTATTACAAACACATCACTTCAAATTTTTCATTTGGTTGTGTTATCCAGTCGTGATACAGTATTAAGGAGGCTTTGGTATGTTTAATAAACTGTAGGTGATATTAATAGTAGGAGCAAAACTTCAGCTGATAATATCGAAATTAGGATTGAGGATTCAAGATAAAGGAGATGTGGTTAAAGGAGCTCCTGTGGTTGAACCTGGTGATGATCTCTTTTGGTTTGGTCGTCCTCGTTTTATTCTCTTCCTCATTCATCTGGTTCTTTTCACGGTATTAGTTAAATTAATCAATCATATGTGTTAATGTTTTATGTGTTCTTGAGTTATGGTTTTTCTAAAATAGGTAGTTTTATGTATTTTCCTTACAGAATGCTTTTCAACTGGCTTTTTTCGTTTGGAGCACTGTGAGTAACAATTCATCTCTTCTGATAAAATCATTTAAAATGGGTGTTTTCAATAAATTAATTGATTATTTGTTTTGGTATTATTTTTGAAGTACGAGTTCACACTCAAGAACTGCTTCCACCACAAAATTGAAGATATTACAATCAGGATCACCATGGGGTTTGTAAACTCCTCAACTAATACATAAAACACTAATATATTCTGTGTTACAAAAAAAAAAAAAAAAAAAAAATCTTTACACGAAACTTCATCTTGTTGTATACAACAGGGTATTGATACAAGTTATATGCAGCTACATCACTCTGCCTCTCTATGCTCTTGTGACTCAGGTATATAATCCAAATTGTTAAACGTTGTATTTGATAGAATCAAAACTAATTATTTAGTAAAGTCGACTAAATGGTTGGTTCTTTTATGCTCTGGGTGCAAACCGTCTTTGGAAGGAAAGGTTATTTAAAAAAAAATTGGAATATCTAAATGGGACTTCGAGCCTAAGAACACCCTCGTTGAAGATTAATGGGGGTGTTTCACACATAAACCAAGAAACAAAAAAAAAAAAAATATAATATAATTGATAAACCTGGTTCGCTGAAACTCTCTGTGATGAACATGTATCATCACTGTTCCGCGGGCCCCATGACATGTGGTGGTCTGTGATTGACCAATTTTTTTTACAAAAAAAAATCAAACGAAAAAAATAAAAAAATAAAAAATTGTGAACCCCCATCCGCAGGTTCACTTATGGAGTGCTCTAAGATAGACTATAAATCTAAATGCAAAACTTCCATTGTTAAAAAAAACGACTAAGCTCTAAAATTGATAACATGCATAGTATAGATAAACCCTAAATATAATATCATTTCAACTATGTTTTTTTTTTTAACTTAGCATCAAAGGGCAATGCACTAGAATGATATTTCTAAATTTTTCATATCCGGCCTTGCATGTCTCAAGTTGTTATTGTTAGGTCTCTAGTTGTCTATGTAGGATTGATTCTCTAACACTAAATTGTGACTGTAGATGGGAACTACAATGAGGCCGACCATATTCAACGACAAGGTAGCCAATGCATTGAAAAAATGGCACAACACAGCCAAGAAACAAAGCAAACATGGAAACTCAGGGTCCAACACACCTCTCTCTAGCCGCCCCGCCACGCCAACACGTGGCATGTCACCTATGCATCAAACCCTCCACAAACATAACCGCAGCCTTGATTACCAAACCAGCTTCACTGCTTCTCCTTCTCCTCCTAGATTCTCTGATTTTGGCGGCCACGGCCATGGCCATCAGCCTTTCCTTGATCTTGAATCTCAAAATGTCTCTCCCCAATTTGAGATTACAGAATCTGAAACCAACAACAGTCAGCATCCGCATGCTGACGTAGCTAGTCCTGTTATAGAAGAGAAAGAGATTACTGAGAGCATCATTATCGGGGTATACTACCCCGTCTCTTAGCATTAATTTGATTTAGAAAAAAATGAAAATTACCTTTTATTTGAAACAACGTCGCTTAATCAGGAGAAGGAAGGCACGTCTCTTATGGGACACGCGTCAAAGTCTCCTCCTCTCTCTCATCTCTATCTCTCTCCCGATTGAAATCAGTCGGTTTCTCCTACTTCACCATCGACCGTC